GCTGTGCTCCTGGTCATCCAGCTGGGCCGCTTCTCCCAGCAGGAGAAGAGAGCAGTGGAGACCCTGCAGGAGCTGCTGGGAGAGGGGGTGAGCCGGCACACGGTGGTCCTCTTCACTCACGGAGACAGGCTGAGAGGCAGGAGTCTCCAGCAGTTTGTCCAGCAGGATGGGAACCTGCAGAGCATCATTCAGGAATGTGGGGACAGGTGTCACCTCTTCAACAACACTGACAGGGGAGACGGCTCTCAGGTCAGGGAGCTGTTGGAGACGGTGGATTACAGCCGTTATTACAATGTCAATGAAGAGCTGAGCCTGGAATAGTAAAATGAAGACAAACTAGAAAGAGCCGGAGCACCCTTAAGAGGAGGGACAGCAGCAGTCTTTTCCAGCAGTAAGATAAACTCCAGCAGAGCTGTTTTTTCATTCCTGCAGCTTTAATACTGTACAATAACACTGTCAAACGAGCACTGCAGTTGCGTCCACAATCATTGATTGTTAAAATGAACTGAATCACTGTATTATTGTATGATATATCTTGTAGGATTTCCTGGTGCATTTCTTACATTATTCTGTAGTTGAATATGTGTGTCGTTTTCTTTTTATTGCAGATGGTTGTGATGCAATATTGCCAGATGAAATTCCCAGGTTTGGATAATAAAGGTCTTCCAATCTAATCTAAAATAACGGTTTCCTTCTCCAGGGCTGTAATGCCTGTTCGCCTGTTTATAAACACACAGTCACTTTGAGCACTTAGGGGTCATGTTCCCTGACCTCATCCTTAGAATCTTTAGAAGTCCTCTGTCAGGTTCTCAGAATGTGAAACAGTTACTGGAAAAGTGACAGGTTGCCCAAGTAAGAACATAAGAGACATTACAGATAAGAGCAGACTGTTCCGAACCTTTCTGATTCTGCATGTGTTGGACAGGCCATTGTGGAAACAATGCGTAAGAGCTGCAGCAATAAGAATAACAGGAGAACACAATATTTTGACTACTGTACATAATCTCTTCCTGATGCTGTGAGACTGCTTGTGTTGTGAACTGTAGTTCGGGACCCGATGCAGACGGTGGAGAAGGACGACAGAGAGGAGACCCCGGGGAGTGACGGGAATCAGGGCAGGCTGACGAACAGGGGGGCGTGACAGCAGTGAACTGGAGCGTGGGGGGCGTGACCAAGGCAGACAAGTCCAAGGTGTCCAGGGGGGAAATCCATCTGAGAAAAAAGACAAAGACAGACGGGGGTGATGGGGTCAGGCGCTCTGAGCCCCAGAATCAGCAGGGTCTGGACGCAGGCATAGGGCGACTTGGTGGTAGGCGGGCCTGCGGGCCTCCAGGCGTCCGTCTTCCAGTGCAGAGCTGGGAGTAGAGTGACCGTCTGGCTTAAATAAGGAGGAGCAGGATTGAGGGCAGGTGCACATAATCCCCTAAAATGTGAAAGAGCCAGAGCGCCCTTAAAAGGAGGGATTACAATCATGACAGCTTGTTGCAAAAACAAGTTACAGGACAGTATCCTCACATAAATGAAGATTTCAGACAATCTGAAGACTGACATGACACATAGGTCACCTGCCAGTGTCAAGGTGATAAAGAGCTCAAATGGAATACTTTAGTGTACCCCAGGCAACATGTTCACAGATAGGTCCATAAAATAAAGGTAGGTACCTCGCAAATCCCCCACAACAAAATCAATTGCCAAGACTTAAGAGACTCCATCTCTACTCTATGAATTTACATATATGTGTAAGTGAGTGCAGATACAGGACACTGTTGGTGCAGAGTGTAGATACGGGACTCTGTGGGCTGTCCAGTCTCTCTACACCAGGGCTGTCCACTCCTGCTCCTGGAGGGTCAGTGTGTCTGGGGGCTGTCCAGTCTCTCTCCTGTGGGGTCAGTGTGTCTGTGGGCTGTCCAGTCTCTCTCCTGGAGGGTCAGTGTGTCTGTGGGCTGTCCAGTCTCTCTACACCAGGGCTGTCCA